CTTTGCGCGAAGGCTGCTGGTGCCACCCCCATCGTCATTGCCGATATCGACGCTGGCCGTCTCGAGTTCGCGAAGAAGCTCGTTCCCAGCGTCAAGACCTTCCAGGTCCCCCGCGGCCTCACCCCCGAGCAGACCGCCATGGGCATCCTCGACCTGATCAACAACGGCAACGGCGCTGACCCCATGGCTCTCCGCCCCAAGGTCTCCATCGAGTGCACTGGTGTCGAGTCATGCGTTAACACCGCCATCTGGTGTGCTCCCTTCGGCGGCAAGGTCTTCGTCACCGGCTGCGGCAAGAATGAGATCCAGATCCCCTTCATGCGTCTCTCCACCATGGAGATCGATCTCCAGTACCAGTACCGCTACTGCAACACCTGGCCCCGTGCCATCCGCTTGGTCGACTCTGGCTACATCGACCTCAAGCCCCTCGTCACCCATCGCTTCCCCATCGAGGATGCCGTCAAGGCTTTCGAGACCTCGGCCAACCCCCAGACTGGCGCCATCAAGGTGCAGATCAACAACTTTGAATAAAGTTTCCTGTTGACGCAACCGAGAATGTTGGAAGTTACGAATATGACTGATGACGATGTCTTTCACTTCTCGTTATGATGGAAACACCATGATGACTCGCCTTCTTCCTTTGACGCTTTTTGTTTTTTATATGTATACTATTTATTTAGCATAGCTTGCGAGTCTTTGCTTTCTTTGCAATTGCCATAGAACAATCTAATCTTATGCATTGTGGAAATAAGTCCGTCTCCTCGTTCGTCTTTTCTTTTCAATGTCGTGTTGTGCCAGAGGAGAGGTCGTAACGTACTGACGAGGATTATATTTGTTTTGGCCTTGCTATGATACATTATAGCTTTTACGTAAGCATAAATCTAAGGAAATTTTGATCAACTGGCCTAGTGGTAAGGCGTCCGTCTTACACACGGAAGATCGTAGGTTCGAACCCTGCGTTGATCAATACGTCATTGTTTACTTTTTTGTTTTTTTAAACTCTTTTTGCGTATGTATCAACTCTTTCTTCACATCAAAGAAGCAGTGGTGAAGCCATCGTACACAGATAGACTTTTTTGTGACGGAAGCCCGAATCTTTTGATACGGTATATCTTTTCGTTGACTATCAGGTAAAGCGACGACGTCGTGCGCGTAAGCGTTAAGGGACCTCAATAACCGAGGATTGAAGGGACCGGAATGGCATCGCGTCCATCCCTAGAGTTCTCATCCGCTACAGGTATCGCATGTTCAAAACAGTACGGAGGATAGCAAGGCTAACAATCAAGTGGGCAGGAACATCAGCGTGGTCACCAAATAGCCACTATTTTGCAGTGTTAGAGAGGTGCGCCGATAGCGCCTATCTCAACATCTATGAGGTGTTAAGGGACGGCCAGTTGCTGCGGTCAATTGTCTTGCACAAAGACCATCGCAAGCCTCCCTCGAAATGGTCGTCTTCCCAGCTCAGAGCCAGGCCGGCAGGAGCAGGCTTGCGATCACAGAATTCTGCCATCCGCTGGTCCAAGGCAGATGAGAGCACGCAGTTGAATGGGGAGGCTGATGCAAGAAGTGGTGATAGTCGGCGCATCCTTGTTTGCACTGGTAATCGCATCTCAGTATATGACCTTTGCGATGAGGAATGGTCCGCTGAGATTGTTCTTGGGGAAGCTTCGGATCTTACGCATGTTGAGTTCGGATCTACGCATGCTTCTATACTTGTTCTCAGCGAGTTTAATGCTGGGTTGCATATCTTCCTTCTCGAATCTCAACATCAGGGTCATGCTAGCATTGACAAGCGGGGACAAGAGCATCTCCTGATTAAGTCGCCAAAAGGCTCGAAGTGCTCTGCTTTTAGGCCACGCTCAGGACACCTGGCTTTGGTAACAAAGGAAAACACGACTGAGATCGTGGCGATCCTGCATCCCAACACATACACTCCGCTGAGCTCAAATGCCCTCCAGACAGTCGATGCACAGGGCCTTAGGTGGTCACCAAACGGCAGCTGGCTCGTTGTCTGGGACCTCGCTATACTAGGGACCAAGGTCGTTTTATACACAGCCGAAGGAGCCTATTACCGAACCTATCTTGGACATGAAGGTGACGACGACGGCGACGCGGTCATGATTGACTCCGGTGTACGGGACATTCAATGGAGTCCCGACTCCAGAATACTCGCGTTGGGCATGGGTGACGGCAGGATTGAGCTGCTCAGCGCCACGACTGTATGTTTCCATCCGTTTAGCCTCTTAATTGCCTGCCTGTTTGAGAGCGCACCGTGTTATAGGTTGAAGCTTTAGCTAACCTACACTTTCAGCTGACTCTCCTCTCAACGCTTCTTGAGCCAATGTCCTTTGGATCAATTGGCAGAGAACTATACATTGAGGATGTGGAGTCCAGTCTAGGTATTCCTCAGTATAGTCCAGCGCCTAAGCAGGAGCAATTCCCGTATACCTTTGACGCTTCCACATCGACATCTGCACGTTCAATCGCCATGTCATTCAACTGTGACGGTACGCTACTTGCAACTATCGATTCGACCATACCAAACATCGTATGGATATGGGCAATTTCTGCCCCGTTCGTGTCACCAAGCCGTCCACCCTACCTCTATGGCGGACTCATACTCAGAAAGCCAATACGGCAGATGATATGGCGCCCAGAGCAAGCTGCTTCGAGCTACTTGACCATCATACCAGAATTTGATTCCTTTTCCAACGATCCACCGTTTTTGCATCAATGGGTGATAGGCGATCCCACCGGCCCTCAGATCTCACAGCTCGTTGTACGCCCACCCAAGAGAGTACCGGGACTGGGACCGGTAGCGCAATGCTTTTCGCAAAAAGACGGCGACGCGGCCAAGGGTTTCTTGCTGTATTCCATCGAGAAAGAAGGGTGGATCATTGAGCCAGGGATGAACATCGAGAAAGGGGTTGTCCAGGGAATCACGGGAACGGTAGCAACGAGAGCAATGGGTTTCCAGGAATGAGGAGTGAGTAGAGATCGAAGATAATTACGGTACGCTGGCTATAGCTATGTGTCCACAGGTGATCATACAGGTTTGTTCGTCATCAGCAACGCAAACCTCCTTCATGACTCTCGTAGCTCTCCCTGAATTATGTTGCCGTCGTTCAAGATTAGTCATTAGTTAGTCATGCATAAACTTCTTGGCACTTCAAGCCTACTGAAACAAACAAGAAGGGCTTAGGGCTAAGCTTCCCGATACGGTAACGCCCTCCCTCGTTCCCTCCGTTCGGTGTGCCACT